TTGAACTAAAATTTTCCGAATAGAGCGAAATGTAAATCTATTGAATCCAAACATAATTGGAGTATCAGCTTCAGTGGCTTATATATGTTGTCCTACATTCATCATGTCAATTTAAATTACTACTCTTCTACTAAACATATAATATTCATTCCGTTCAACTAATCTAACTGTTAGAATGTGCAGAAAAATATACCAATAATTATCATGTTAAGTCTAACGGTGGCCTTGAACTTTAAATTGGTCAGTATTTATTTCACTTGTTGAATATTGTACAAATGTTGTTTTCTATTTTATGGTACGATGTGGTCTGGTTGATTGGTATATGAATAGAGTATTTCTGAAATATAATGATTCATATCTCAGAGGCTAAGACTTGCGTTCTGGACTCAACTGTCTGGTATAGACAGCGAAGCAGGGCTAATCAGAACCCTAGGCCGTCCGTACGTGTTTTACGTGTCACTGAATCGATCGATAATATACGCTTCGCTCATAATCTGCAGTTTCACGCGTTATAACACTAACTAGATATATATCATAACTTTTAGTAGACTCCAAGTTTATATTAAAATATCTTCATATTTTGTCCTTAAGTTATCAGTTATCGGTTAGTTGATTTGTTTTAAAGAATATTATTTTTTGAACTTTTCATTAGTCTGATTTATTTCTATCAATTTGTATGATTAATTTATGTCTTCTCATTTTGATAAAAGAAATTAGATACAAAAGTAGCAGTTATAGTGGTTGATTCCTGAGTTTGGTCATGTACTCTCACTTTTGAAAAGTCCCATATTAAGTATCCAGTATCTTTTAATTGTTAATGCCTACCTAACAAAATTAGTCCGTTTTACATACTATCTGCAAAATAATATTGTTCTCTAAGTATTATTTTTTTATAGACTTTAAAACGACTACACATATTCTTTGAATCATTCATTTGTCTCTTGATAATATTAACAATAATAGATAATGTAAACAAAGATGGATAGTAGCTAGCAGTGGAATTCAGGATGTGTGTTTCGTCTTATTTGGGACTCATCAGCAAATGTCTCTTATACACTAATGCAAAAACCTACTTTAAACATTGTTAACATTAATTGAATGACCTATTCAGTTAGTATACAGTACACCGGAGAACCATGTACTTATTTATATTCGATAATTTTGATGTTTGATTATATTTTCTTGAAAAAGTTTGAACTAGATTGTCAGATGTAACGTTGGATTTACTTCAAAATTCATTCACAAAGATTTTACAAATACATTCTTCCTCTTTAATATATTACATTGACTAGGCGCCCAAATACTGTGAAACTATTCGATTAACCAATCAAAGCTATTTACCAATTACTCTATAGATCATTTAAATGTTTAATTCTTGATTGTATATCTAATAATGAGAATAAATTCAACGGTTAATTTTCTTTTTTTATTTCCAAAACTCATTTCTAGATAATGTTTTAACATTCCATTTTTTTCGTTTTTTTTTCTTTTTTTATTCTTCCTTTGACTCCTTTCATTGTTTATGGACCATTAGTTTTATTTTGTAATGAACATTATCAAACAACAAAAAATAAAACAACAACTAAACAGATCAAACATTAATTCTCGATTGATTAGATCTAGGGGAAAAAAACTAATAGTAATAATGATGAGGGATTTGGGGTTCTAAATGATCTAATAAGGTTGAAAAACAAAATGAAAATGAATCTATCTCAATTATGCATTCATAACATGAAGACGATGATTATTATTAGTATTTCCTAATAACTGTATCATTATCACTGAAGAATGAAAATGAATTTTTTTATAATGCTCCATATGAAATATATATCTATATATAGTGAAAAGAGAGGAATCATAAAAATGTATATCCTAGATCTTTATCTAATCTTTAGGTCAATAAAAAAGCACTCTGCAAACTATTTGTTATATAGCTCATTTTCAGGAGATCGTTTGCTACATACATTTGTATATATATATACATACATAATCATTGTTTCTTGGCGCCAACCAGATGAGATATTGTTAATCATTGAAATAAAAATCAATGGCTATAACTAACTTTCAACTGTGTTAATATTAATTACCATCCACCTAAAAAAAACAACAAGCAAACAAGCAACCACTTAGAGATTAGTTACAGCCCTATAAACTTGTTTACTTATTTGAAATAAATGATCATAAATGTTGTTTGTTTGTTTGTTTGTTTACTTTTTTTTCTTCTTCCAAAACCTTCAATTATTCCTATTGATAAGATATAAGTAAAAAAAGATTTAAGAATAAATTGGGAATTTTATTTATTTATTTATTTTTACTTCTTTTTTCTCCATCTAAATTTAATAGCAACTATTTGAATAGGGGATGGTTAATTAGAAAATAAACAATTCAATGTATAACAATTGTATATAAGTTTTCCTTTTTAAATCTTACCTATCTATATCCCACTGAGTTTTTTGTAATTGCTTATTAAATTTATATAATATAAACTCAATATTTAATTTAGATTGATGAGTTGTGTTATATCGTATTGTGTTATGTTATGTTGTGCTGTGTTGTGTTGTGTTGTGTTGTGTTGTGCTATTCTGTTCTGTGCTGTGCTGTTTGTGCGTTTGTTTGCTTTGTAACTACACTGATTGATTTCAATTTTCTAAATAATAATATGAGATATAAATGAAGAAGGTTTATGACAAGTGTAACCAGTGTGCTTTTTTCGTTTCAAATTTGTTATGATTATTTACCTCTATATGTGTTTACTTTCATTTAACATTCATAGTTATTATTTAAAACAAAATACCATCAAATATAGTTCAATTTTGGTCTTAAATTAATAAGGATATAAGTAGTATAATATAAAGATTGTCATTTTATTGTTTAAAAATATAAATAGTTATAAAGTCACCATATTGTTAAACTATTTTCTCTTCTTTTCCACTGAATAAAGTTTTACATTTTATATAAGATTAAGTTTTAAATGAGTCTTTTACTTAATTATCACATCTTTAATTCATTATTATTTGAATGCAAATTTGTGTACGATCCATTGAAATTTGAATTGAATTAAATTAAGGCTACTTATTTATTTGTTTATTTATATTTATATATAAATTGCCTTATTGATTAAAAATACAATGATTTCTAACATTGATAAACAATTAATTAAAGCTAGACCACCATGGAAAACCTAGAAGCACTGGACGATCGTTTCATCCTAGTATGGGACTCCTCAGCAGTGCGCATCCACGATCCGACACCCCATGAGATTCGAACCCAGGTCTGTTGTGAGATATCAACTCATTGATGACAATGGCGTACGGTGGCGCAGTGGTCTAGTTGGTTAAGCGCCCAGCGCGAGACTGGTGGGTCCTGGGTTCGAGTCTCACGGGGTGCGGGATCGTGGATGCGCACTGCTGAGAGGTCCCATACTAGGACGAAACGGCCGTCCCGTGCTTCAAGGTTTCCCATGGTGTTCTAGCTTCAATTGACTCATGATTTCAATCTGTGAAATTTCTAAAATCTCCACAAAACCCCTTCTGATAATTAATTAAAGGTAAAAATAATCAATATATTGTTTTTAATATCCGATTGAATAGATAAAAAATGTATTTCTGGTATGTTTCTTCTTCTTCTTTCTACTCCTTGGGATGTCAGAAAAATACATCAATTTATTCTTAAATTTGTTTTTCTTTTTCTACATAACGTTCAATTTATTTGAAACGATCAACTTCCACTTTGATACTGATTGACATCGTTTAAATGTAATGTCATGTCATTTGGACTAGTTTATCATTATTTCAAAATAAATATTTTGAATATGTTACAGAACTTAGATATTATTTAGTGACCTTGTATCTAACTCCAATTGGATTGTATGCTGATTTTCATCGAAATATACATATTAGCTATCCTTGTATATTTCATCGATTTCAATCGCATTAATGAATAAGGAAATTAAAGAAGTTGAATACGAGAATGGATTTTCGAATATATGTATTTTCTATACTCACTGATCTGAACAATAAATCAAAATGATGAAGCGAGTGAGCCAACTCACTTTAACCAAGCTTTACTCAATATTTATAGTTACATAAAAACAAGCTATAGACATGTGATGAGTAAGATAAGAAATACACACAAATACGTTCATATAAAAAGTCACGGTTGATAAGTGAATAATTAACAACGTAACGTCATAACGTAACTCAAGAAGAGTGGCTAAATTGGCCTATCCAGAAGCTAGAATAAGCTATATGGGCTTAACATAGTAACGGACACTACAACCGTACTATATTGTCCAAAAATATTTCTTAATAACATAAGCTTTATATTCACTGTCTTCAGCTTATTTGAATCTTACACTATTAATTTCAACCTATATCTCAATTTTAAAGTCTAATATTCCAGTAAACACTGAAGGTGAAACTTGAAAACAAAGGAATCTATAATTAACAAAATTATTACGTAATTTTCTGTGTTGTTATTAATAAGAGACTTACCAATCTTTGGTTTGGTTGTGTATTTTTTAATTCAGCAATTACTGAACTGAGAAAAATTAATAAGCTCAAAGAAATTTCTGATAATACAGATGATGTATAAATATGAAGATCAGTTGAACCCTTCAATGCTTCATTTCACTTTTATATTCGGAACTTAGTAAAATAAAGGAGGCTAGAAACGTCTGGTTGCAGTTCATCAGGTCTTCAAGATTTGTAAAACTATCGGAGAAATGTATAGTTAAAGCAAAATTCGTAAAATTTTAATGTGATTATTTTAGACCTAAATTGACACCTTTTGTTGATAATTTCATTTGACTGTTTAGTTGAGAATTGATGAAGTCGTATTTTGGATTTATAAACATACCTGTGATCATGCTTTTTTAAGAAAATTAGATAAATACATATTTTACAGATCGATTTCACCTTACTACACTTTTGAGGATTATCTTCCAAACTACTAATAAGTAGCATTGTTAATTCAGATATAATTCATTCATACATTTTTAGTTCCTCCACGGGCAGTATACGTCCAGTCATATCCCGAAGGTTTGATTGCTGAGTCAAGTCAAAAAATGTTTAGCTGTCAAACAGATAGTATGGGAAGCAATCCTCCAGCTATATTAAAATGGCAACAGCTTGATTCTGCGGGTGCAATTATTTCACTGGAAAGTTTGAAAAAGTCCGTCAATGTCGACTTCATCAAGCAAAGTAATGGTGCTGTTGTTACTCGTTCTAATCTAACAGTTCTCGCAACTAGAGCATTGAATGGAAGGCGATTTGAGTGTTCAGTTGTATTCAATGACTCAAAAACACTTCTTCGATCAGAAGGGTTTTTGGAGGTTATGTGTAAGTTTTATGATGATGGATGAAAATGTATTTTTTAAAGATTTTTAGATATTCAGTATTACTCATTTGGAGATAATCCTTTTATCATTCTGAACAAGATTATTAATAACTGATTTTTCTAAAAATAAAGAGTGTATATGAGCTTTTTGATGTACGTACTCTTCCATTTTACATGATCACGTACAGTGACTGAACTGTAGTATACAAATGAATGATATTATTCTGAGAGTAAAAGTATTTTATCAATGTTTTTGTTTTTACTCCTGGATATCTAGGAGTATGACCATAAATAACCGTTCACAACTGCCTAGTATTGGTCATCAGAATCTTAGTTGGTAGGATAAAATGCTTTTTCATACGCTGGGATATCGTTGTCTGCTAAAAATCAGGCACTTGTAGAGATGCAAGTTTGCTTAAAATTGAGAGATAAGATATTCATAGGAGGGTTTAAACAGGACTGTTTCGAATAATTTAAAGGCAGACTAATAACTTTCGCCCTTGATGGTAATCTCATTAGATATCACTAATTTTTAATCTTACTTGAGAAAGTCTGAAAAACTAATTATTTCCAAAAATTCTAAAATCTCAACTTTGCTTTAGTCTTCTAAGAATTAGCAACAGTAATCAGTTCACTTACCTTGAATTTCTTCATTTCATCTCTGACCACCAGATACACTTCAAGGAACTAAGAGAAATAATAAGCTAAAGATGTAGTTTAATAACATGGTCAAACGATACATCCAGCCCATACTGAAATACGTTGTTGATATGTGTCCATGAAAAAAGTTAGAACGTATTTATCGTTCTCTACAAACCGCTTAGAACAAACAATAGACGTATATTCACTAATAGACTGTTTAATGACTAGTCTGGTCAATTGGGAAAAACATATTGTTGAGACGTCACTTTCAAGGAATTATAAAATGAAAATATTTTTATAGGCGTTGTTATAGATCTGATACCGATACACAACCTGTTACGCGCTAACCACCCTGACTACTTGGGCGAACGGGGAAGAATAGAAGAGAACTCATATTGGGCTACCAAATAATATGCATTAATACTTATATATATATATATATATATATATATATATATATATATATATATATATATATATATATATATGTATATATATATACCCCTTAGAAAATGAATCCTATTCTTAGCCAATGATATATAGTTATTCTTCAGGTCATTTCTGGTTAGCCTCAAGAGACCTCACTTGCTTACTTAGGATTGGCTCATCATATCAGAAAGCAGTACACAATTTATACATACCATAACGCTTTAATTTCGTTCTTTTTATTTATCAAAACTTGGAAATCTCTAAGTCATATTTTGTAATGAGTAACAATAATTTTTATTTGTATAGCTAGATTCATTATAATTACATTGTAAAACCGCAATAAACATTACATACATTCATAAGATACTTATTTCTGATTTTCCTTTTATTCAACAAATAAATAAATTAGTTTCTCCAAATAACATACAATTAACAGCTCAACCGATAAATGGTGTTCCAGAAGCTGGTCGATTAGAATTGTCATGTGCTACTAGTTCATGTCATCCACCTGCTGTGATACGTTGGCTTGAAATTTCACCAGATAAAATAAAAGAAAAGAATAAAAATATAGAAGAACATTTACAATATATTAATTTATTTTCAAATGAATTAACTGATCTTGCCCAATTAGAAACTGTAAGTAATTTACAAGTTATTCATTTAGCTAAATGGGTTTTATTTTGGGCATTTTAAAGAGAGAAAAAAAGAATATAAATGTATCATATATCCTACCCATAGAATTAACCATTACTTATTCATTAAGAGTTTGAAATGAAACGAACTATAGAATATGAAATCCAATACTTTCAATGGGAAAAAATAAGAAGTAAAATCAAAGCAATTCAATGGACTAATTGAAATATTCACAATTAGCATTCCTCATTATCATTATTCGTAATTTCAACATTCACTAACGAACACAGCAAGATTATTTTGTCGGTGTGGGTGTCTTTTTTTTCAAAATGTGATTCATACAGTTAATAAATTATATATCTCTAATGAGATTTTCACATTAAATAACTGTTTAACCGAAAAATATGTTCTGTGTATTACAGTTGGAAAACGTTTTTTTTCTCCTCCCCCCCACTCTATCTTTTTTTTTGTTTCTAATTTTCATTCATGTTCTTAGTTATAGAATAATTATTTTATACAAAAGAGCTACGTTTCTAATTTTGTATTTTGTTTCGTCTACAAACCTGCAGTACACATCAAGAGATTGATTTTAATTCAGTAGAAAAAAAGAAGAATACAAATCACAATAAAAAATTTAGTTTAACATACATTTTTGTATCAGAAGGATTTTTGTGGATATCATAGTAATTTCAATGGTTGAGATCATGAGTCAATTAAATCTAGGCCACCATGGAAAGCTAGGAAGTACTGGAAAACTGCCTCGTCCTATTGTGGGACTCCTAAGCAGTGCGTACCCACGATCCCACCCTGCGAGATTCGAACCCAGGATCTATCAGTCTCGCGGGCAAGTGCTTAATCATTAGACCACTGAGCTGGCATTGCCAAGGAGTCCCACACTACAACGAAACGGCCGTCCAGTGTTTCCAGATTTTCCATGATGGTCTAGGTTTAATTGACTCATGATCTTAACTATTAGAATAATTGAAGATTGATCCAATACTTTATTAGAACACTTATTTATTTCTTACTTATTTCATATTCATACATATTATGCATAGATTCAATCATTATATATATCTAACAATAATAATGAGAACATTACTATTTTAATAGAAAAGGTGAAATTTTTTTCATAATATATATATGATATACACATTGTTTTACAAGAATTTCATATGTAGTGCATTTTTTGCAAATCAATAAACTCTCCTGATTCTTAAATGAAAAAAAGTCGTTTGTTCGTTTGTTTATCCGCATTTTACCTAATAAATCAATGACACGTTTATCCTTCGTAACAGTCTTACGAACTTGATAGAAACAATCAAGCGTTTCAATACAGTTCACCCGTCTATAAAATGTACATGTGAAAAGGAAAATGCGGGGTAGAATAGCCTTTCTAGATGTTCTACTTACAAGGAGAAAAGACGGGTCACTAAAAAAAAACATAAACAAGAAAACTACTTGGACGGGCCAATATACAAACTTTCTAAGTTTTGTTCCTTTGCAATACAAAAGGAACCTTATTAAGACACTGCATCGTAGAATCAAGACCATATGCTCTCTAGATACGGTGGAAGATGAAACAAAGGCATTATACACAACCCTGAAAGAAAATGGATATCTTGAGAAATTTATAAATAAAAACATAGCTGCTAAAAGAGAGCATAGACAATGCCTAACTGTGGATAGAAAGCCTCTGTATATACGCTTACAATTCAGAGGCGATGTACCGAGTGAAATGCTAAGACCGAAGTAAAGCAAATCAATTCAAAGGACTTTTAATGCAGGTAAACTACAACTAATATTTTCCACATGTCCAATAATCAATCCGAGGTCAAAAGATAAATTGCCTAGACTAGCGACCTCTTTCTCTATCTATTAATTCGACTGCTCCTGTGGAGCAAGTTATATTGGCAGATGTTCTAAGAATTCTAGCTCGTGAGCACCTCTTAGTGTGGTTAAGCAAAGGTGTAGCCAAAACAGTGAACAGCTCCATTTTAACCCATTTAATTCAGACGGGACATACAGCTAACATGGAGCAATCTTTCGCAATAATATACCGTGTTAACAGCAATCTACCTAATTCCGTCAGACAGAGAATCTTGCAGACGGCTGAAGCAATTGCTATTCGGATCAAAAAGCCAGAGCTTTGCATCCAAAAGAAATATGTTCAGGCGCTCCTTGTACCCTCGCCAACTAGTTAATAATCAGTTCTATAATATGGTAACGTAATGTGATTAATGATAATTTTTATGTCCCAAATTTATCTTATCATTATTATTATCTTCACCATTGTTATTATTATTACACTTGATAACCTTTTTGAGAAATTTATTCAGCATCCACCCTAAATCTACTATATCTGACCTAACTTATATTATTCTACATATTACGTAATTTCTGATTTTTGTTCCATTATTTTCTCTCTCACCCCATGTTGATCATATTTATTCTGATCATTTGTCTCACAATTTCATTTCACTTATAAACTGATTCAAGTTAACACTTCACATTAGTCAGTCCCAATATTAACGATCTGATTCGATTTGATATGGCAAACAACAATTCTTGATTCCCATATTACAATTTCCAAATGATGTACTCTGCCTTAAATCTGTCCAATTTTATGGATTATTAATTTGGATATGAGATAATTGTAGAACCTGATGAGAAAAGAATATTCTTCGTTTGTATTAATTGTTATCATATGGGTTTTGTGGATATTATGGTAAATTCAATGGTTAAGATCATGAGTCAGTTGACGCTAGACCACCATGGAAAACCTGGAAGCAGTGGACGGCCGTTTCGTCCTATGGTAGGACTCCTCAGCAGTTATATACTCACCGATTATATTAATTGTGTTTTAATATCATGGGAATTTTCCAGCGATTAAAATTCACTTCATTCTATGAATACTTATATAATTTGTAGTGTAACACAAAACTTGTTCTTTTTAAATGAAATACTACATATGATTAATTATACAATGGCTATTATAATTTACAGATAATTCCCATTCAACGAAGGGATCTCTTTTCTGCGAATTTATTTTGGTAAAGTACTAGTTCATATATAATTGTACAGCTTGATGATAAATTCGTTGAAAAGAGATCGGTTCGCTGAATTTTGTGTTTTTAAGAATATCGAATCCTTATTGTTGTGTAAGTTGGCACTTTCAATCGTTACGCAAATTATATTCTGATTAATAATGAATTGATTTTATTTCACTGTAACTTATCAGCTAATGTTATGCCTAATTTCATAATAATCACGATTAGACTTTATGATATAAAATAATAATGATTCAAACCGACTCATACTTATATTGATGAAAATCTAGTCATAAAAATTAAAACAGATAAAGTTATAAGAAAATACGGATAGCGGCTAGCAGTGGAATTCATGAAGCTCTTTTCGTCAGCTGGATGTACCTGCATCTCAGAGTTGGTGTTCAGTCTTGGACTCGAACCCAGTACTGTCCACTTCAAACTCTATCACTTTATCCACTTAGCTACTAAGTCCTGATAGCCATTTGCTTGGACAATGGGGTGAAGTTTAAATTCACTTGGTATTGTTTACTTGAATCTTCTAACTGATGATTAGAACTGTGATTGTTCAGTCTTTTATTAGCATATATGCATACTGTGTGAACATCAACTCTGAGATGCAGGTATATTCGGATGACGAGCCCCAAATAGGACGAATCGGCCATCCAGTGCTTCCAATTGTTCCAGCTTTAATTGACTCATGATCTTAACTATCAAATTACTAAAATATCCACAAAACCCCTTTCTGATAATATTTTCATTAGTTTAATTGGTAATTTAATCTATGATTATTTTAGAATCCATAGAATTCTTTGTATTTTAATCTATTTACACAGAATCAAGGAGATTTTGGTGGAACTAAAGTTTTAAGCACTTTAATCATAACCAAAACTTATCGATCTCATCAAAATACAATTTATCAATGTCTAGTTAATCATACTGGAATGAATAAACCTGTTCTGAGTGAGCACAGATTACAAATATTATGTAAGTTATGTTTGAAATTGTATTTATCATTAGTTAATACATTTCTGGTGAAATTTCTTGTTAGTTTAGATTGACTTTACAGTTTAATTGTTATAGTGAATTCCAATGATTTTTCATCTCGTAATATTAGATAATAACCATCGGTAAAATAAGCATTCAGCACTACTGATATTCGTTTAAGTTTATTTAGCTAATAATTTAGTGATTTCATATTTAAAGTTGAAAGCTCCTTTTAAGGAATACCATGTTCTCGATTCTTTGTAATCTATTTACTGTAAATATGAGTGTCGTTACCATCAAATTACCTTAGACATAAACTTCTAAAGTGGGATATCCACCTTCACTTTGAAATATACCTGTATAGGATTGCAAAATATTTTTAGTGCACGTGGTTCATTAATTTGTTCATAATATGTATAATTTATTCTTGCTAGATCCTCCAACAATTCATATCATCAGTCTTCCAAATCAGCCAATTGCAAGACAATCTGTTACGTTATTCTGTCAAGCTATTGGAGGAAATCCTTCAAATGACTTGACATATGCATGGTTTGTAGCTAAATCAACTCAGTTTTCTAGCCTTTTAAAACAAGATGACGACACTCAATTAAATGATGATCCACATGAACAAGATACAGATAATTCACTGAATCTGTCAAGTATGAAAAATCATTTTATATCTTCACCTCTTGTAACACAAAGGCCAGAATTTGACAGTATGATTCAACTAAGTGGATATCATGATTCACAACTAAATTTAACCAATATTAAATTGTCTCAAGCTGGTTGGTATGGTTGTGAAGTATCTGGAATCGGTGGAAGTTCCCATGCATTATATCATCTTGATTTATATTGTAAGTTTTCTTTTTCAAAATTAAACAAATTTGTTATTATTTTGTTATAACTTGTGACTGCCAATTAGAGGGTAGTGACTTATCGATCGAACCAAAGACTCGTAAAACACGTCTTGATTGGCCCTGCTTTCCGCCTAGCCCAGCCAGCTAAGTCCAGAACACCAATCTGAGCCTCTGTGGTATGATTCATTATATTTCAAACATGCTGAGCTTATATACCAATCAAACAGACCACAACTTACCAATAAAATATGAAACAACATTTGTACAAGAATTAGCCAGATGTGGTTGTGAATGAGGGAGGTAGTAATTAATATACTGGGTATAACTCAAGAATGGCAGAATGTATAATAATAGTTTATGGGTCAAAATAAAGCTTAAAATAAGAGGAATATGAATATGCATAGTTTAGTTACTTAATAATTATACAATAGAAATATACGTTTAGTATTGGTCTATCAATAGATCCCAAAAGTTACCATTCATTATTCTTGTCGGGACATCACATATTTATCTTGAAATTTCTTGGTTAGAAAGAACATGATTTTCGATAAATTTTATCCTTCGTCTATACATAATTAAAACATTTTCTAATTTTCCAAGTTCAATTAAGGATCCAGTAACCGATTATTCAAAGTTTCACAGAATACAATACAAATATATCAAGTTTGTTTATTTAAGAAGTTAAATTATGTACGTTTCCTAAAAATAACAATTCACATGATACTATACAAACAAATCAAATTGTTTTTCAAATGGGACACTAATCAATATAGCATTGTATGCATATGCATTGCAATTACTCATATATGAATGTATTCTATGCTATGATGAATGTGCCAGCAGAAATGTATATCTGTTTTGAAGCGAATTCAAAGTACTAGTTGTTCGATACTCTCTTAAAACTGCTATTCTAATAACCAACAAACATAGACGGTTGATTGAAGCTAGACATTAACAGCACTTGATCCGACTTAGTGGTCTAGGAGTTAAGCATTCATACAAAACCAAAGGTCCTGAGTTCGAATCCTCAGTGCCAAGTTGTGGATGCGCACTGTTGAAGATTCCCATTCTAGAACTAAACATCCATTTAATGCTTCCAGGTTTTTGATGATGGTCTAGCAGTGATCGGTCCATGATTGCAATGAAACTATCAAACGGTTTACTTATGTGTATAACGTTTCTGAGCAATGGACAGGATTTATAGCTTGAATGAATAACTTTGATAAAGTTATATTCCCCCTATTGAATAGTATGATTACGAAACCTTCATTTATGTTCCGGATATTTAAGTCCTGATACTGATGTCTATAATAACAATGAATAATGTCTAAGTAAACTATGTAAAACGAAACTGTTGGGGACGTTAAGTCCTCAGAACTCCCTTGGGAAAGGACCTAATTTCGTAATTTTCATTTACAAGATTTGAATTTCTTTGTTTTCGCGTCAAAGGCGCTCTTGTCACCTTCATGTCATAATTCCCACTGGGAAATATCTTAAGTGCTATTGGTCCGTTGCACCTTTTAGTATGCTATTTGGTAACTCTCCCCAAGGACGGTTTTGTGCTGTATAAATACGTTTTTGAATTGTGTTTGTTGTTATCGCTCGTTTCTGGCTGTTTGCAGAATATACTTCCCCATTCCAAGCTTGGACTTCTCCTTCTAGTTAGCGGGACTGGGACGCATCAATAGCTAGCTTACTGGTCTTTAGTCACCGAGTCTTGTTTCTCGTTCGCAGATTAAGTGAACTCGTGATAGCTTCAACCCTAACAGAAACAGCCTAAACCTTCATTTACAAATAGTACCTTTACCGACAAATGTTAAGCAGTGATAATGTAAAAGTTTATAGCATACTTTTTAAAATGATTCCATTTATGCCGTTTCTTAGATGTAATGTAGCTTTCATCTACGGTGATTTTTAGGTTTTTACATCCATACCCTTTTATTATTTATGAAGCCTTATGACTGAAAATTCTGGAATTGTTTATATTTGTAGTTATCGTGTGAATCACGATATGTGCTAAATATTTATGGCATCATAAGGATTTTTCATATTCTACATGCTTTATAGTGTTCTCAAGAAAGTTTCATATGGATTTATCTTCGTCTATGTACAAAATAGTTGCAAAACACTGCCTATAAAATTAGAAGACACAAGTAGGCTGCAAGTGATCGATCATAAGTGCTTATTATGTAATATATTTGAGTTAATTCCTAATTCTTCGTATATCACTCCGTCTGATAACCATTACTAGATAAATATTAATAGTTTATAAATTTCAGAAAACAATACAAAAACTTTACAATTTATTGTTGTACAGCGTAGATCACAAAGCCACAAGCATACAAAGCGATTACGAGCAGTAATGCGAATAACAGTGAGTGAGAGCGAGGGAATAAAGAGGTGTATGGATGAGATTTAAGACGCATATGCATATAGAAAAGCATAAAGCGTCATCAAGCAATTTAGGCTAGTAAGAGGGATATTTGTATAGTCTGTAACTGGTGATCAAGCTTACATACTCATACAGACATGATAATAATAATTCAAAGACGTAGACGAATTATTACTGTTCGAATGACACTATTGAAAAACTTAATTGAAGGGTTCGATAGAATTAGACTTAAGTGTAGATGAGGTGTTATATACCTTCAAAGTATCACAAGATTAAGGAAAAACTACCAAGTGAGTAATACTAAGGTACCAGGTAGAAAGGGTAATTCCACTGATGGGGCCATACATCCCGATAAGCTAAGGTAATTGCAAGACAAGATATGTATTTTTTACCGCTTATTTCCCCAACATTTACTTTTGGCTGACAATGAAGTGCTTTGAAAATAATCTAGAAATGAGCAAGCCAATAAGTGGTTTTAGCTCATGAAGCTATTCGCTGTTGCTCTGGACCGCATTGGAATGTTTAGGTTTTATGGTTAGAGCGCATTAATCATAAATTGAATTGCCTGCCTTATTGATGAGTCATAGAAGTATAATAAGATCGAAAAGTGTAGAATTTGACGAGAAAAACTTACTGTACAGATGCTATAAAAATAGTGTACATATTTAGTACGTTTACTCCAAGGGCTTACCACTCAACAATACACAATATATATGGAAAATCACTTTAAATTGATTTCGAAACATTTTAAATAAGATACGCGACCGAATATAAGTTTCAATCGAAATGTATTTACTTATGTATTTTATATTGAGTTTAGTTTTTCACTATAGTTCTACCATGAATATAAAATTTTCAGCACTCAGAACACTAACATTTTATTCTCTGTCTAGTGCCTAGTCACCATAATTTTCTTTTCATCACTTTACATCACATTTTCTCCCGATCTCATCACCATTCACTGATTAATTGTGTTTATGTTTATCACTGATAGTTCAATTCGGATGTTGTAACAATATGACCAGTATAAATTTTTATCTGAGATAATTATGGATAAATTTTCAATTTTTATGTCTGATATATATTTTAAAACATCTTTTCAAATATTTTAGATCAACCCGTGATGAACAGACGTACACAAACCCATGTTATGGCACAACTAGGTGAAACTGTAACTTTAGCTCTATATATAGATGCCAATCCACCTTGGGCAGAAGCTGAATGGTTTCAAATAGAAACTTTTAAGAATGAAGCTGAAAAAATTCACAATTCTCAACAATATGTTGAACCTCAAGCTTATTTTGAACCGCAACAAATAAATTATGGTTATCCACAATCGTATAATTCATGGACTCGTGTTAAAAGAACAGTATTTCATCGTTTTCAGTCACATTTGTCAACATCAGATTTTCCTGGAGAACAAAATTTACGTCAGTCTATTGGGCAGAGAAAAAATATTTTTGCTTCCAGTGGTACTGGCCTCTATGGTAACCTTACATTCTTCCTCAGGTTCATAGAAGTTAAATCTGTTGATTTCGGTACATACATTTGTCAAGTTCGTCATCAATTAGGTGTAAAAGAATTCACATTTCACTTGTTAAAAAAGGCGGGTAAGTGCTATGTTTCAAAATCATTGAAACAGTTTAACTTTCTAGTACTTTAATAACTTTGATTAAAAAATTCTAATTTGTCTATAATTCTGATAATTGTAAAAAGAGCTTGATCGAAATCTAGACTTTTGTTTTCAGGAAATGTCTCTCCGATCAAAGTTATGAAGATGTATCTTTTTCAACTTCGCTATCATATTTAGGTCGTTAAACGGTAACAGACCTGAAAGCATGGTAATTTTCCCTTTCGCATTAAATACTTAGACAGAAAAAAATATGTAGGACTAAATGAAACATTTAATATCTGTCCATCTGGTTTTCACTGACAAGTCAACTGAAATCAATAAATTCACTTGGTATTGTTTGCTTGTATCTTCCCATTGTTGTTTAGGACTGAAATTGATCAGTCTCTTTTCGGCATATGTGAACACCAGGTACATCCAGCTGACGAGTCCCAAATAGGACGAAACGCGCATCCTGAATTCTACTTCTAGCCACCATCCATGTTTGCTTATAAAATCAATAAGAACGTTATGATTAAAATATTGTTAATAAACCATGTAATTACACATCTTAAAACAGTACAAGAAAGGTAACTAAAAATACTGATGGAAGAAAATCCAAATGCCAAACTGCACAAGTTTTTAGATTTTTGTCTAATCTGATGTAAATCGCTCACCGGGATAGATTTAAATTGATAATCAGACTACTTTCAACGTTGATTATCAAAATCATCTAAAATTCTATACGCAACAGGTAGCACTCTGTTTGTTAATTTTATTAATCACCATTACAGGATGTAATCTTTAACACAAATTCGTTAGTGACATGGGATGCATAACTGGTAAGATGTCACTCATATTGATTGAAAAATATTACATATCATAACACAATGAATAGAGTTATCTTTTGTAATAAAGTTATTCCATAATTTTTGACCTAATAGGCAATATACTACTTTGTTTCAACTGAAAAGCCATCTTTGTGTAGTTGATGAAATTTCAGTCAGCCATAACAACTGGTCAAAGGATATCTTTAGTGAAATTTATCTGAAATCCACTAGAACTAAGTAATACTTATGATGATATATGCTGATCAGTTATTTTTCAATAAAAATGGCGTTTTACTTTTTTATAACTGTTTTGGAATAAACTCAGAAATCTTGCCTTCCTTATCTGTATAGGGGATGGAGTTATAACAGAAGAATCTATTGAAGTAATTCATCATGGATCAACCACAAGTATTTTATTTAGTCCTCCATTGAAATCTTCCCTTATGAAACTTATCCTTCGAGTTTGCCGACGTGATGCTTTGTTAGGTAATCATAAACAAACAGATAAGCAATCTGTAATTAAGCAGCATTTCAAACGGGATATTCCAAATCAAAAAGTATCAATTACCTCAAGAAATGTTTCAAAACAAAATGATGTTACAAATCTATTGGATAGTTCACAGATTTTGGTTAATTCCAGAACTGTTGGTTGTGAAGATTATCAGGTTGCCAAACCTTGGTTAGGAAAGATGGAAATACATTTATCCGATGCAGTTCAGTTGTATAATTTTCGATTTCTTTTATTTCAAGGTACTAAACTTCTACAAGAAACATCTCCTGTATTATGGCAACCAGGTATGTTACATAACATTATTAATCTATGAACATCAAATACAGAATCTATTATGTAAGGACGATTAATTAGATAGGAAATGATAAATTCAACAGCACACTTTTTGACTCATCAACTTAGTTGTCAAGCAATCTCCTTCTCCTTTTGGAATAAAAGTGTTTAGGGTTTAAAATGTTTTTTACAACCAGATGCTGATTACCACGTGTCACACAATCCATCAGTCAGATGGCTTGCCAATAAGATCAAATAATTGAGTATTTCTAGATCACTTTGTTAATCATGTTGTTTATCCGACCTGATTACTAGTGATCATATAAATAAAAAAATTTAGACTTTATGCAGAAAGTTATACCTGACTTTCTAAAATTGAAAACTTAGTACATGGGATCAACTGGTTGTAAATACTTTTCAAGAAGGTGTAGTTTGCGACTAATAAGAAAGGTAAATAAATAAAAATTTATAGTCGAATTATTTATGGTGAACATTTTCTGAGCTGATGGTCAATACAACATACAGGCTTTTAGTAACCAGTAAGCTTGTTAGAAGTTACTTTAAGCAAACGTCCATTAGAAATCCAACTTAAAACATAGAGTATTAACACGTGATCATTTTCGATCTTGAATATATGTGCAATGTAGGGAACAGTCGTATTGTAAAATGATCTACTAATACAAGTGAATGTAACGTTTTGATGGTTTAGAACTTATTCATGAAGAAACATGAAATGACTCATTTAGATTTAGAAAGAAACCTGACTCACAAAAGGGATACTTCTCTTCAGAATCAAATAGTTACTCAAAAACTAAGCAAGACACTCAACAAAAAAAGCAATCGAAGACAACGAAACCTACAAAAAATACCAATAATGTACAAGAACATCATAAGGAATTAGGTTTGTGAAATGATATCTAATGTTTTTTAGAAGTGACAATAAACCATTCATCTCAAAAAGCATTCACCTGAACTACAAATCTTCACTATCATTTCATTACTCAATAACTTCAGTTTTGCCATCTATTAGCAGTTCATTATCAAACGTTGTACACTTTATTTTCAGATAAGTATTTTAAATTGTGACATTCTTCAAACTCTAACAAACTAATGTTATATTGTTATTTTGCCGTCAATTTTAGAAATATCTAAAACGCATGGTGTATTCAATAAATCCTTGTTAGTATTAGCTGTAACCGGTGGTTGTGCACTAGTAATTGTATTTCTTATCACAATAATTATAATCTATTCATGCTATGGACGAAATAAACATGGTAAGCTTTTTTTTTCATAATGAAATGCTACAGATTATTTTATCAAGAAAGTAATTACATCACTCATTCAAGCAACTATTGTTGTCATCTCATAATGGCAATATTATTTTACCCAAATTCATTCATTATTATAATTATAACATTAAGAGGACTACTCTTGGCTTTTTTTTCAATTTAAGATCCTATCTCTATGAACTTGAAATTATTTTATTATGATTACAAATGACCATAAAGTCATTAAACAGAACTTCATTTTTGGATGCAGTTCAATTTTAATCATACATTTTGCTGTAATTCCAAAGATAAAATGAATGGTAAAACCAATCAGTGTAATCAAGATAATTATATCAAACATCCACAATATATAAATATTAGGGAAACAATGAAATGCATAGTGTTTAGGTTATCACCTCTAATACAAAACATTCATGAAACCGTTCGATGTCTTCCTGAGCAAAATAATTAGCATATAATCAAAGAAGTTCTCGATTGATTTCATAATTAAGCAATCATAAAACGTTTGCAAAATAATGTATTTAATACAGGGATTGATAATGGCTGGTAATAAATTAGACTAACAAATAAAGAACTAAGTTAAACTATGGATACTTGATTTAAAAAATATCCGTACGCATAATAGTAATATTTAAATTTAATAAGATGTAAAGGTAAGGAATTGCAAAGTAAGGACAGCATTCCTACCCCAAACAACTGTCAATCAAGATCAAATTCAAAATCTTCAATACGAACATCAAGACAGTTCTACTGTAAGCAGCTGAAACTTGGAGAACTACTATAACCATTATCAAAATGGTACAATTGTCTACTCAAGATACTGAATATCCGTTGACCGGATAGCATCAGCAACAGCCTATTATGGGAGAGAGTAAATCAGTTTCTAACTGAGGTGGAAATTAGGAAAAAGACTTTGTAATTGGATTGGACATACATTGCAAAAATCACCAAACTGTATCAGAAAGCAAGCTCTAACTTAGAAACCTGAAGAAAAAAGAAAAAGAGGCGTACCAGGGAACACATTGCGTCGCGAATTAGAAGCCGATATGAATAGGATGGATAGCAAATAGAAAGGATTGCTCAGGACAGTTAGTTGGTGAATACTAGTAAGTGGCCAATGCTTCTTTGCGAAGAGTGACAGGCGTGAGTTTTCAGATAATACATAAGCTCAGTAAAATAGGCATAAGTTTATTATTAATCGCCTTAGAAAAAGCGAGTGTTCCACTTGAAAAGCTTAATATGCATCTAATCGCTGGTAAAAACAAACTTGGATTATTTATATTTGCCTTAAGCTCTTATCATTAAAAACGTTGAAGCATAAAACTGAAAAATATATCACCTATTTCATTTCCTCTCATTTACTTGATATCAATGACTAGCCATCTAGCCTAATTTCAGTAAAACGGTGTTATATTCTAAAGGAGCTAAACAGGTCTTTGCCACCCTAATTTTCATTGTCCTGTAAAATCTTACTACTAAATTACATTGAGAATTAGTTACCACTCACACTAGTTGAAATAGTGTTACTTAAACTCTTTGAATTTGTATAACTAACTCATTAATTACATGTTATTTGTTTAAATTATAGATCAGATGATAAGTAGTCGCAAACATGATTTCGTACTACCCCATTTGATAGATGAAAAACACGATTTTTAAACATTCCACTTCAGGTAAAATAACTGACCAAACTTAAAACACAAAATCAAAGTGAAGAAACCATACTATAATTTGTTAGATAGAACTAATTAGAGAAATCTAAAAAAGGTTATTATCATATTGAGATTATCGTAAATATATATGAGCTAATCTACAACTATCCAATCAGCTTTGATACGGATAAAATTTACATTACGAATACTTCCATAGTTCATAACTAAAAAAAAGTTAATCAACTTCTCATAACCTAATATCCTCAATTTAGGGTTATGGAGATTAATGAGTTTTGATTGAGTTCATGAATCGATCAATGTTAGACCATCATGCTTCCAGGTTTTTAATAGTAGTCTAACACTGATCGATTCATGATCTCAATCAAGACCCTTGAACATTAGTACATAAACCTTTTATTAATCTATCCACATGTATTTACTTGAAATAACTTTTTTTCTTCCAATGATTTTTGTTCACATATCAAAATCAAATAGAATTGTGATTATATTGTAGTGAAGCCGAACACAGGTGAGGACAACTGCATTACTTATAGCACAACATTACAGAGTTACTTGGTAAAATAGAAAAACCATACTATTTATACCTAATTTGCAAAATGTTCAATAATTGTCTCGGACTTCATTGTTCTTGCATTTCTATACTAATTGCTTTCTATTCCCGTTCTTCCTTTCTTGATCTTTCCAATCTTCTGCTGCCAGACATTACATTCCTGACTCGCGTTATATACTACTTATGTCAATATAAGTAGCACGCACCACAATATGTTTCATGATTTTGGCTAACCACTGGATATAATAGATTTCATTATTTCTATCTGATAAATGATATACAGTTTACAATGCATTCACAATTGATAATAGTTCATTCAATTTCATACTCTAATTTATAGTTGATAAGGTATTGAACAAACATACTCAATCACTGATAATATCAATAACATCTTAGTTAAATCTAGTTCACATTTAAGCTTCACTAATCATCATCATCAATTAAACTGTAATATAATATCTTTATTTTCCGCCTACAGGTTTATTGAAATTTTGGAATATAAAAAAGTAAGTAATTATTAAAAGAAATAAACAACTTATTTATTGAGTCAATTTATATTATTCTTCCATGATGTAAGTGTATATTCATATGAGTAAAAGTACTTTACATCATTATTTATGATGTTATTCCAATAGTTGAAATCATGAGTTAATTGAAGCTAACCCACCATGGAAAACCTGGAAGCACTGGACGGCCGTTTCGTCCTAGTATTGGACTCAGCAATAGTTAAAAATTGTTTATAGTTTGATATCATTTACGACATGTAGTACAATATTCTTAGAGATTAAAACTTAAACTTACTGTAGTGATAGAGAATACATATGAGGACAATTGAATGTATTTCAACATAAAATTACAGAATCTCTTAGTAAAATCTACGAACTATATAGTAAATAGTTCATTTACAAAATGTCAATCAAGTGTCTCAAACTTGACTGTTTCTTTTGCAATCATTAGTCAATCGTCTTTGACTTGATTGTTCTTTCGTTTCCACACCAATCATTCTTTGTTTTCGTTCTCTTTTCTTCGATCTTCTTAACCTTCTGACTCCAGACATTTCACTTTTGATTGATGATAGATACTGCTATATATCTGTCGACATCAGTAGCACACACTACACTACTAGACATGGTGGAAGTTCTTAACTATCTACAATTTTAAGCAAGAAAATAATTTGTTATTCACCACTTTACCAGAGTCCTTTTTTATCATCTCTCGTTCTTTTGTTTACAAAAGTAGACACGCTGAATTAATCATTCTATAATTATAATATAACTCTAATTCTATAATATTTGATGTAAAACCAAAAATTCGTAAATTTTATTTTAAACTTTTATGCGATATGTACTGCTATAATTAAAATTGAACATTTAACAAGTTAATTTTTAGTGACCTGAGACCTGACTTCAGGTAGATCGTTTGCTGTTTGCTATTGAAATATACATGTCACCAATCCTCGTATATTATCGTCGACTTAAATCGCGTTGGTGAATAAGGGAATTAAGTCAAATACGAGAAGGGGTATTGAAGATATTATAGTAATTTTAATAGCTGAGATCATGAGTCAGTGGAAGCTGGACCACCATGGAAAACCTAGAAGAACTGAACGACCGTTTCGTCCTATTGCGAGACTCTTCAGCAGTGCGCATCCACGATCCCGCCTCGCAAGATTCGAACCCAGGACCTATCAGTCTCACGCGCGGGTGCTTAACCTCTAGACCACTAAGCCGACATTCAATTCAGTTATTCACCAAAACGACTTAAGTCGATGGTAATATACGAGAATTGGCGAAATGTATGTTTCGACAGCAATCATTCGATTACGATCATTTATCCAATCAACTTGAAGTCAGATCTCGGACCACTAAAACTTAGTATGTCAAAAAATACAAACAATGTTACGGCACATAAATGGTAAAATAGACAATTTTAATTTATAAAATAAATGTTTTTGTTCAAACTAACATTTTGTTAAGCAATATTACCTATCTTGTTTTTTTCAATTGTTTTATAACAATTAAATTCGCATTGTGAAGTAAACCGAGTTCTCTGGAATAAATATTAGTTCTTTCAAGATCCAATGTAGTCAACGAATTTTCCAGATACCAGCTCTTATCAAAAGGTTTATTTTTTTAATGGTTGGATTCATGAGTCGATTGAAGCTGGACCACCATGGAAAATCTGGAAGCACTAGACGACCGTTTAGTTCTAATGTGAGACTTATCCACAGTGTGCAAACACGATCCCTCCTCGCGAGATTCAAACTTCGTATTTAGATGAAATTAGTAAACAATATATATTAGAATACATATTGTAATAGTCCCTGTAGTATTTTATAGAAAGGAAGAATCAATTTTTCATTTTTAAACAGATATAAAGAGGGTGATGAGCTATGAAATATTATGATTTCTGTGATGATAATAATAATAATGTGTTAAATATTAAATGCCTTAAAGTTTATGAAAATTGAATATTCTTGGTTTTCTCATAAGCTTTTTGAATTAGCTAATAGAAATTAACTTTCCTGTCGCTATTTTTATTATTCTATAGAAGTCTGAAATCAAGTACTTCGCAACAGTCAAGCAAAAAACTAGATGTTCCAAATCATATAGGATGTGAATTAGGTTTTGAACTTCACAGTGATCTTGGATCTGTACGTAGATATCAACCAGGTTAGTGAAATATTAAAATAATTAATCATTTACAGTTTATTAATTCTTCAATACTTATTTTATCTTAGTGATAACGTAGAACATTATTCAAGCAAATAAAAGCGGCATATAATTGTTGCAAATATCCGATGGGTTTTACTTAATTTTAGATTCAAAAGGGTATCAATTACTGTATTTCAGTATACTACTGGTTAGCGTTTTTTTAGCAAGGTTTTTTTTTCTAAGATAAAGCGTTGCCGACCTCATGCTCAACCCTTCTCCTTTACGCAAGCTTGGGAACGGCAGTAACTCTAGAAGAGCTACAGGCATTTTTCAGTTTTACCGATACTATTGCTATAAAATTACGAGATAATTTATTACCACTCATTTTATATAATAACTACAGACAACCTTCAATCACTGATATTACTTACTGACTTCAAAACTTGTTCATTAAACGTTATTTATGTTAAGTATATGGTGAACGAAATAAACAATTGTATCTAAGTAGAATTACAATATATCAAGAAAGCAAATTATTTCATCAGAAAAGACACTTTAAAGAGCTAATCTAAAAATCATAATGTAAAGGAGGTTAAAAGATGTAATTAAGAGAAAATATTCAACTGCCGAAAGACCAGTGTAATGAAAGTATTAGAAGAATTAATTGATTCAAAAGTCTAGTCAAGACTCAGACAACAGATTATCTCACAATTTGAAAACACTGAAATCTCTGGTAAATAAGTCTATGGAAAATAACTATATTCAGGCTAATGTAATTAGACAACTCAACCAGTTGAATAACAACGTGATTGTGTAAATTAATAACAAAAAAACATCTTTTGGATTTAATACGTCTCAAATTCAACAAACATACCATCTTCCAGGTACAGTCATGAAAATCTATTCTAGTTATACTACCCAAAACTATTTGAATCTTACAGACACAGTCAAGAAAGTCACATTTTATTCACATTTCTTTTACAGTCTTTTAAAGGATATTCAGTCTCTCGTTTTTAACCTGTGTAATAAAAAGATATTTTCAAGAATTAATAAATAAATGCATTCCTAAAATTCTTTTGAAATCTAGTTCTGATTCCTTATAGGTTTCATATACAAATTAATGTCATTGGTTTGTTGGCTTGTATAAAAACGATTAGAAGATTCCTTTAGTAGATATCATCTTAAAAAGTATTCCCTGTTAATCAGTGCCGACAACCCCCAACTATCTTACATCAAAACATAGTGCATCCCCGCTGCATTCTCTCGGCTCCACTACTTTGTGGATTAGACCTCTAGGTTAAAGATTCGGAGAGTGGCCCCCTAAGTAAACCATCTGCTTCGGTTTGGGCGATTGGGCAGTATTCCAGCCCTCATACAAATCGTATGACGATGTGTGAAGTATATATATATATATATATATATATATATATATATATATATATATATATATATATATATATATATATATATATATATATATATATATATATATATATATATATATATATATAGGTAGGGAAAATAGATGTTGCCTCCTTTCATGATTTTTGTTCAGTAAATTAGACTGTGAAAACAGTAATGAACACAGAGTGGTCTTAGTCAATATTATGATAATTACTTTGTATTGTACTGACATTACAGACCATTTGTAAAATCACATGGAAAGACGTAAAGTGTTATTTAAAATGTAATAATTAAAAATAATATTTTCATTGTAATCAATAACCCATTCAGCTACTTTACCTCTAATACGTACAGAAAACTATGCAGTACTTAAATAATTAAAATTAACACGCTTGTGATCACCTCAGTGACACTTTAGGTAAAGCATAGTGGTGCACCAATCAGGTATCTGAATGTGGTTTTATGGTTATGGTATGTAGTTCAGATAGTCTTACAGACAATTGATTGAATACTTTTCAATTTGACCATAATATAACCATAATACATTGGAAAACCACTCTCTGTGATTATGGTGGGAAGATAAGCGTAATGGGACGTTTAGGCAATCATGATAAAGTTTTATTTCCATAATACTTATATATACCAAGAAGTCTAAAAGGTATGATTTGCTCTTCACTTATCACAAAATCATACACAACTAATGCTTCTAGTTACGAGTTACATCATACAAACCTTTAAATAATTAGCTTCCCCATTTATGTAAGCGAAATCAATATTGCGGAGACTTTTCCATAGATATCATGATGAACATAGAACTACTTCCGGGTGAGGTAGGATTGCATAGACTGATGAGGTACAGTCATTAGAATCAGAAATAAGTTACTCCATTTCAAATAGTGAAAACTTTTAATTAACCTTAAAAATTTATATCATGTAAAGACATTAAACACTTCTTGAGTTTTACTTATCTCCAATGATGTTAGGATATTCGGGAAAATATACCAATAATTATCATGTTAAGTCTAATGGTGTCCTTGGACGTTAAATGGACATTCCCTATTGGTCGATATTTATTTCACTTGTTAAATATTGTACAAATGTTGTTTTCTATTTTATGGTAGGATGTGGTTTGTCTGATCGGTATATAAACAGAGTATGTCTGAAATATAATGATTCATATATCAGAGGTTGAGACTTGTGTTCTGGACTCAACTGGCTGGGCTAGACAGCGAAGCAGGGCTAATCGGGACTCTAGGTCGTTCGTACGTGTTTTACATGTCATTGATCCGGTCGATAAATACGCTGCACATCTAATCTGCAGTCACAAGTTACAACAAATGATTCTTTCGTTGCCTGATCCCTATTTATTTAAAAATGGTTTGAAATTTCTCAAGATCCTTTTAAGAGTCGACCAATATCGTCTCCATACTCTAATTCTACCATAATTTTGAGAGTTTTTTATTTATTTCAAATACAAAAATACTGGTACAAATGGGCACCAAATACATATACGCCACGCAATAACAATGAGGTTGTGAAGAGATAGGGAATATAAAGTATGTATAAGAAAAAGGAGAACAACAACAAGCAGGAATTAATGTATGAGAGCAAAATAATAATAATAATGGGAGAGGCAGTTTAGTTAACAAAACTACAATAAAAAAGAATCCTTTCAGTTGAAGAAGTTACGTTCATTTTTTATGAAGAAAGTAAAATAAAGTTACAGCAAGATCGCCACTGGATTTTATTCTGGGTCATGTCTGATAACGTCTCAAGCCACTGTGTTGCACCATCTCTAGGACCCCAACTAGGGAGTTGTAAAGGACCAACGGAAGTCAGTCCTGTACAGCTTTCTTTCATACCACAACTCCATGTCATACACTCACCACTTCTCCGCTTTTTCCAACCAGTTCCAGAGTCGGCAAATAATGCATGACGTGGAATTCTCTGGGACGACAGTCATAAGACGTGTCCAAGCCACAGAAGTCGATGTTTTGAGATAGTTAAAAAACCAATCAACTTATCGTTTCTGTGCCCGAATACACGATACCGAACCTCTGCATTACTAACACGATGTTGCCACCGTATGTCACCAATCCTTCGAAGACAACGATTGCTATGTTTGAAGAGATTACGCGTTCACCTAGTCTGCGAACGGAACAAAGACGTATAAGTTAGCTATTCTGATGCGTCTCAGCCCCGCTAACTAGAAAGTGAATTTGAAGTTTGGAACGGTGAAGTATATTCCGCAAGTATCCAGAAATACGACCGATCCCGATCCGTCTCGACGGAAATACACTCATTTATATATTGGTTTGTACACCCACTTTTGATTAATGATCAGAATAAATGACATAAATGAAAAATAATTCATACAAGAATGTCGTATGTTATACAGAATAAAATGTCATAGGGGAAAACGAAACAAATACTATACTGAGTGATCATCGAATTGAATTAAACAGAATTAATGTTGGATAAAAATTACAATGAATAAATCAATTTAATTTTGACCTTTCACCCCGTCATAACAACAACGATCAAACACAGAGAGTCGTCTAACATCCTCAACTCAGAGAGGTCAGGTTTCACAAACATAGAGCAAAACTGCTCTCACTGACTCGTTGTAGGTCAAACCTTTTACAACCAAACTAACATCCTAAAAGCGCCCATGTTGGTGCGGTTTGGCATAAGCTGCTCTGGCTTTCACTATACGTGAGTTGACCTCATCACTCACGCCACCACCAGCACTTATGTGGCTAAGCAGATACACGAATTAAACTTTAAATTTATTAGAACAACAAAAAATATATAACATAATAGAAGATAACATATAGAATCAAGGTGATTCTATTGGTCAACATTACTATTTAATGAAACTATCAGACTATTCTGATAACTGTATCTATTAACCTTATTTAAGCAAAAATTATGAAAAATGAATAGGAAGTATATTTTAGATTGCAATAGGAATTTGTCCTATGACTCTACTTACATGATCGACATTATGGATGATTCGTTTGTTATATAGATTGAAATAGAATGAAACCTAACATCAACCCTCTGCTGGTCAGTATTCCACTTTCGATTTCTGCTAAATACTACTTATATGTGTCCATATAGGAAATACACAACATCCTAGTTGCATCTCAGATATAATTGCAAAATAAATAACTCCATATGATACAAATATCTCAATACGACTATTTGCTATTTTACTACAAACCAGAGTTAGTTTTTTTGTTGTTGAAAATATGCTTTAAAAAAGGTTACTTATAACATTATGGTTGATGTTACTCATACTTATCAACCTTAAGTAAAAGAAGTACAAAACTAAATTAAATACCATTAGAAGTAATTCTTAAAGGAATTATAATGTTAAATAGAAAATCTTTGAAAATTAATGAGTACCAATTAATTACTTCTTTCTAATATAATATTAATCAAGCAATGAGTATATACACTGAATGAAACCTACTTTTCATTATAAATACAATGTCTTTAGATCATAGAGTTGAAACTTTATAGTGAATTGGTTGAAGTTAGACATTAACACCGCCGGATACCGGATTAGTGGTCTAATGGTTAAGTGCTCGCGCGCGAAACCAATAGGTCGTGAGTTCGAATCTCACGGGGTGCGGGGTCCTGGGTGCTCATTGCTGAGGAGTCCCATACCAGGACGAAACGGCCGTCCAGTGCTCCCAGATTTTCCATGGTAGTCTAGCTTCAATTGACTCATGATTTCAACCAGTGAAATTTATAGTTTAAATTTTCCGGGTCATTCAATCTGTATAATGTATAATACGAAATATTATGATGTTATAAATGTTTTGCTTGAATTAAATATGATTATGAATAAGGACAAAAAACATAAACTCTGTAGTAACTAGGGCAGAAGAAACGAAACGTTTTTCTCTTCTTTTTTTTATATCCGATTAAAATATTTTAACATATTTTACATTTTCATTTAATTTTAGAAACTCCATACAAACAACCACCTCTAAATGGTTCTTTCATTCCACATGGACATGATAATTCATTAAATGGAATTCATCATTTTAACTCTTTACAAAATTCAGCAATCAATAGTGGATTAGATGGTAATAGTATTGATAATGAATGTGCTGCTTTATTACATAGCTGTAATTCAGTAGCTAGTAGTCAAAGTACACATATGAATATAATCAATAGTAGAATATTTGCTGAAGCTTATGCTGCAGCAGCGAGAGCAGCTGCATCTGTAGTCAGTGGAAGCACTGATATTTATTCACCAAGTTCACAAATGACAAATGATCTGGGTTCACAAAATAATGAAGAACGTAATCGATCACAACATTCACTTCTTTATTCCATGAATCAAGAAATTAATAATGGATTTATAAATGTATCAAAAGAGACCAATATAAATACAGAGAATACTGGTGGTTGGAAGAAATATAATAATAGCAACAGTAGTATAAATTTAAAGAATCGGGACAAGCGTAAAGGTAATTTTTTGACTTTTGCAGAATAGTTTCAAGTTGTGGTCAGTAATTTTTTTAATTACTGTCATGATGATGTTTTGACTAACTATGTAAATGGATGACAGTACTATTTGGTTGATGAAACCCCAACGGGGTGTAAAGGACGAAGTCGATTTCACTATTATTTACTTACTTACTTACTTGCGCCTGTTACTCCTAATGGAGGAGCTTCAGCCGACCACCAGCATTTTCTAGCTAACTCTGTCCTGAGCAATCCTTTCCAGTTGTTATTCATTCTTTTCATGTCCGCATCTAATTCTCTGCACAGTGTGTTCTTTGGTCTTCCTCGTTTCCTTTCCCGTTCAAGATTCCAAGTTACAGCTTGCCCCGTGATGCAGTTTGGTGATTTTTGCAATGTATATCCTACCCACTTTCAACATCGTTTGCTAATTTCCTCTTCAGTTGGAAGCCGGTTTGTTCTCTCACATAGTAGGCTGCTGCTGATGATATCCGGTCAATGGATGTTGAGAATATTGAGTAGACAATTGCTTATTTATACTTTTACCTTTTTGATGACGGTTGTGGTACTTCTCCACGTTTTAGCTGCGTACAGTAGAACTGTCTTGACCTTCGTATTGAAGATTATCATTTTGACGTTGGTTGACAATTATTTTAAGTTCCATATGTTCCTCAGCTATGGGAATGCTGTCCTTGCTTTGCCAATCCTTTCGCTTACATCTGCATCAGATCCTCCTTGTTCATCGATAATGTTTACCAGGTACGTGAAAGTTTCTACATCTTCCACAATTTCTCCATCAAATGTGATTGGGTTGGTGTTCTCCGTGTTGCGTTTGAGGATCTTGCTTTTTACCTTGTGTATATTGAGGCCTATTGATGCAGAGACCACTACTACACTAGTAATCTTCATCTGCATATGTTCGTGTGTATGTGATAGAAGGACTAAATCATCTGCGAAGTCCAAATCTTCTAGTTGATTTTGAGCTGTTCATGATATTCCGTGCGTCTCCTCGGATGTTGAGGTCTTGATAATCCAGTGAACTACTAGAACATACAGAAAGGACGAGAGTAAGCAGCCTTGTCTGACTCCAGTCCCGAATGCATCTATCAGCTGTCCTCTATTCACCACTTTGCAGTGTAGCCCGTCTTATGAATTCCGAATGATATTGACGATTTTCTCAGGTACATCATAGTTTCAAATATGGTTCCATAATGTTCTCCTATCCATACTCTTCAATGCTTTCTCGTAACCAAGAAAGTTGATATATAGTGACGATTTCCATACAATTGATTGTTCAGTGATGATCTGTAGTGTCTCGATTCAGTCTATGCACGATCGATCCTTACGGAATCCAGCCTGTTGATCTCGAAGTTAAGCGTCTTCTAGGCCTTTCACCCGGTTCAGCAACACTCGGCTAAAAACCTTTCCTGGTACTGACAGTAGTGTGACACCTCTGTAGTTTTCACATTTGCTCAGATATCCTTTCTTTCGCATCTTGATGAGGTATCCTACTTTCCAGTCCTCCAAAATCTTTCTAAGTAGAACGTGGAGTATCTTTGCAGTTACTTCTATGTCTGAATTTAGTGCTTCGATTGGTATGTTGTCAGGTCGTGCTGCTTTTCCGCTCCTGATTCGTCTCATGCCCATCCTGATTTCTTCGACCGTCGGTGGAGTAACATCTGAAGGAAGGTCTGTATGTGCTGCTTCGATACCCGGTGGATTCGATGAAGCTGGTCTACCCAAGAGTTCCTCGAAGTATTCTGCCCATCTGTTCCCGTGTTCATGAATCTCCATGATTGTCTTGCTTTCCTTATCTTTGACCGGTCTCTCTGGTTTACTATATTTCCCTGTCAGTTTCCTCGTCGTTTTATATATTTGTTTCATATTCCCTTCTCTTACAGATTTTCCTCTGTCGTTGATAGCTCTTCCACATAATTCTGCTTGTCGGCTCTAATTCTATTCTTCACTTGCTTGTTTGCTTCAGTGAATTCAGCTTGTGTCTTGACCTTTTATGCTTTTGTTCAACTGTTGTTAATTGTTGTCTTCCCGTTTTTCCTTTCTTGGATCCTGTCCAGGGTTTTGATAGAGATCCATTCATTATGATGATGCTTCTTAAGGACCAGGACCTACTGACACGTTGAAGTTATTTCTTCTTTGATCCCTTTCCAGTTGTCCTTAATAGTAATTTCTTCTTTCAGTATATCCTGTAGGGCTTGAAACCTGCTGTTGAGAATTATCTTGAGTTCATTGAGTTTGTCAGTATCTTGATGGGAGACTGTGTTGAACCTTTGTAATGCTGTTTGTCCATTTGTTCAATGCTCATTTAGCTTCAGTTTCACCTTAGCGACCACCAGGTGGTGATCTTAAGCTATATCAGCTCCTCTCTTGATTCTCATATCTTCCATTGCCTTTCTGAATTTTTGCTGATGCTGATCTATCTGGTTCTCCATGTTGTCATTCGGTGAGATCCATGTAGGTTTGTGTATGTGTTTGTGTGGGAATATTGTGCCACCTGTAACCAGTTTGTTGAATGCACATAGATTTGCGAATCTCTCTGCCATTTTCGTTCCTTTCTCGCAGTCAGTCCATGTCGTCCCATGATATCTTCATAACCGTTGTTGTCCATTCCGACTTTACCGTCCAGATCTCCCATTAAGATTGTCAGGTCGTTTCATGAGCACTTTACTATGATTGATTGCAGCCTCAAGTAGAACTGATCTTTATCGTCGTCATCGCTATCATTGATTGATGCATAACAATAGATAAAATGCATTGTAATTCCCTCCTTCTTTGTTTTGAAGGATGCTTTGATGATCCTGGGTCCATGAGATTCTCATCCTATTAGTGCATTTCAAGCTTCTTTGGACAGCATCACAGCAACTCCCTGAGTGTGTGGTGCATTTTTCTCTTCGTGATCGGAGTACAGCAGCATCTCTCCCGTGCCTAACCTTTGCTATCTAGCTTGGGTCCGATGGTTTTCACTGATTACGAGAACCACCAAGTTATATCTCTTCATTCCTCACCTATTTGACCGGTTATGCCTGTTCCAACATTATCCGGACGTTTCATGTACCTTTAAAAATTGTTGCTCTGGTTGTTAGAAGGGGCATCGGCCTCATGACTTTCAAGGAATCTTGGCTTTCACCATGAGGCGTCATAATCCCGATTTCACTATGATTCACTAAAAAATATACTCAAAGTTTGGTCATGAACGGTAACAAGACATTTTTCAGTTTACATATAATTACTAGATTTGATAGACTTCAGTCTTGACATAATTTTCTCACTGTATGATATTGAATTTTAAGGAAATATTTGCATAAATATGTCTCCAAATATCAGTTCCATTGTAGCTTCACAAAAACCTGATGTTAATTATGAAACTATCGGCACAGTCACAACGTAAACTGCAAATTTCATGATAATATCCGTATACTAGTTCGTTTGATTCAGTAACGCCACAAACATAGGTCATTGATTACGGTCTATCCTTTATATTACATATGATACCATGTACTGGCACAATTAATTAATAACATAAATCTACTTCATATTACAATAGATTTGTTTATTGATCAGCTTTATAGACCCCGTTTCTTTCTGTGACTATAACTTATTACAATTCACTTCTATGTATTATTTATACACATCTTTCCGTCTGTCACTTAAGTATCAAGACCTTTTAATACTACAGATTTGTTGTACTATAATGACTACATATTTATGACACTGAATAAACTAATCGTTATTTATTTCATTAACCAAATTACATATTGAATTTTCAGATTACAGCTCTATTATAATAAACACAACTAACAATTTCAATTAATCTTTCTGATAATCAATTATGTATTTTAAGAATACATATGTTAAAGGATTCTTATTGTTTACATTCATTAATGGATCGTCAAATGATAACTCCTGATTAATCTGAAATAATCGACTCATCATATTCAATAGATGAGTTTCTAAAGTGGATAAATATTACATGATAACTAAATCAGTTAATGGATTATTAGTTTTAATGAATTAATGGTTTTGTATTAAGAAAATGTAACTGTATTATATATACTTTTTTCAAGTTACAAAGAATACACGTCCTAACGAATATAAATTTAAACCATATACATTAGGCTGTATTTCAAATTTTAATATCAAAAGAAGATGATAATATGTATGTTCCTATCGTGAATACATTCACAGTTCCATAAAATTATTCGATCTAGGATTTATCTGAAATAACTCTTTTCTAATAACGTGTCAACCACTAGCATTATTGAAAAATGATAATTATTACTTTATAAAACTAACATCATTCAATAATTTAGGGACATTATTAAGATCACGAATTAAGCCAAGTTAGATTGTTATTAAAAAACAGGAAACATTGGACGGCTGCACGTCCACCAATCTAAGTAGCATTGAACCTAAGACCTTCAGATTTCGGAGCAAATGCTCCTCATTAAGATCATTAGGCCAAGATCCAGTGGTTCACAAGTCTAAATCAAATCAATTTACAATATTGTTTGATTATCTTTCATTATCTTTGGGGTTTAACTGGCGCACACGCGATACCGTCGAACTCCGCTAGTCTCGAGTTCTTTCTGAGACTGCAGGAATCGCCTCTATGTAAACAATTTGGTTTTATGCTGTCTAGTTGTTAGGCACGTTTACAAGGACAATGTGATACAAAATTTTTAACATTTGAGAACTAAAGATAATAAGTAGGAAGTTCTAGGATAAAGTTTTAAACATTCCCTTTGTATTTATTGACACGAAATACCGTGCTCCATTAGACAATCACAGTACCCTATAGATGCTATTCAGATTGTAATTGATAATGTGTAGATAAGTTAAGTTTGCTCATCAGTAAATCAGTGACTGGCCAATCCACTGGTTCACAATTTGTGTCAGATAACATCTAGAAACTAAATAAATTTAACTTTAACACCATTCTTTGTTGCTTCAAATAGCCTTCATAGAAACATCGAAGATTCTATCATTTACAACTCATTTTAAAGTCTAGCATCAGGTTTGTTGTTTGGTCATTCTGCCACCTGATATTATTAGTTTTGACATATTTTGAAGAGAACTCGTTAAGTAGTATTTACTAGGAAGACAAAATTTTAAGCTGAAAAGGATCAATCTTCACTGAGAGGTTTCTGATAGAAAACTGATTTCTCAAGATTATTTCCATACAATTTTGGCTGAATTTACAACAACAAAAACTAGATCATCAACCTATACCACATAAAATGTAGTAAACATATTTGTTCATTCGCCCCCTCCCTCTGCTCAATGTTCTGATATATTTCTTAACAAAAGATGTTGAAATTGACACATAAATACAACGGTCCTAATATTAATTCAACGTATTTGTTGATTCGAATAGCTGATCAAATTTGTTAGAAACTACTGTGGTTCTTCTTCATTATTCTTCATCACATCCGAAATATCATTGTGACTAAGAATGAAATGTAACGGATAATAATACGCAGATAGTTAACAGTTTCTTGAGATTTACTATGTTGATTGAATTATTTATTTAATTTAACACATAAATGTTGGTACAAGGAGGCACCAAATACATATGCGCTACACATATCTCATTTGATTCGAGTGAGGGCTGGGATACTGCCCGGTTGCCCAGGCCGAAGCAGGTGGTTTTCCTAAGGGGCTACACCCGGAGCTTTTGACTTAGAGGTCTGACACACAAGGCAGTGGAACAATGTCAGAAGATGTAGTCCCATGGTAGCCAGTGACCAACGATTGGTTCATACGCCGTTTGTTCCTTCAGGATACTGGAGCCCATGTGTACCATTGGTTTGGAATCAGGTTAAAGCGTCGGACATTCGCTTTTTGTCCTCTCATTTTTGTAAACACCCCCGCCACGAGAAGGCAGTGAGTAGGAATTCCCTGTCAGAGGCTATATACGTGTGACCATGTGAGAGCACTTTGAGAGGTTGAGCGGACTCTCCCCACTCTCGGCCGTACCAGGGCATTTGGGGGTGAAAAGTATTAACCAACAAACCATTAAAGACTTTAGAGAAATGGTCTATTGTTTCTTAACGTTTCAGTTTTAGTCTCAATTCCAGACGATTCCAATCGTTCATTTTGTTGACCATTCACAAATTAAGATAATCTAATTCTTCAGTACAATCTCTTTCTTATTATCCCTAGGCTGATAAATTTTTCAGAACTAATAAACAGAATGTAGAGTAACGGTTTATAAGTGAGTCTTGATAAAACATTCTAGTATTGTGTAAATAACCAAACCTCGAAAAGAATTTGTTTAATAACAACATCGAAATCCTGTTGTTTCAAATAATCAAAGTCGAAAATTTTTGGTTCATACTCAACTAGAATTTAGACTCAGTAATAATATAATTATTCAATTACTAGCTGGATATGATACTCCCAGATGCCTTGGTACGGTCAAGGGTGGGAAGAATCCGCTCTCCCTCTGGAAATACTTTAACATGGCCATGCGTATACAGCCATTGTCAAGGAAGTTCTACTCACTGCCTTCTCGCAGCGAGGGTTTTTGTTTACGAAATTGAGAGGATGAAAAACGAATGTCAGGCTCTTTGACTGGGCTGGTAGACACGGAGAGTTCACCTAGGGGAGTTGGAAAATCCTGATTCCAAACCAATGGTGCACATGGGCTTGAAGGAACAAATGGCGTATGAACCAATTGTTTGTCACCGGCTACCATGAGACTGTATCTCCTAACGTTGCTCAACTGCCTTGTGGACCAGACGTTTAGGTCAAAAGCTCCTGGTGTAAACCTATAGGAAAATCAACTACTTCGGTCTGGGCACTCAGGCAGTATCACAGTTCACACACAAATCAAGTGACTTGTGTGGCGCATATGTATTCGGTGCCCCTTTGTACCAACATTTATGTGTTCAAATAAATAAACTAGATATACTGGTGATAATATGGTTAGTCGGTTTAATTAACAGTCAAGAAGACATAAATAAAAAAACTCTGGGATTTCATATTTTATTTAACGACTCATTATTGTTAGGAACTAGGTGCACTTATTCAGTCTAACATTTATCACATAATTTTATAGATCAGTTATCAATCATAACTAAATATCAAGGACGAACATGTAGCGCTGATTTTAAAGATCTTTTGATGTCATACTTGATCGGATCGATCGATTAACAGTGAATTCAAAATTTAATTACTACAGACAAACAAGATATTTTTCGATACGTATCCAAGCAATGCTATCTTCCAACAGATTTTTCTTGAACTATTTATGTCAAACTGATATCAATACTAATGAAGCTAAATTATCCTAATATTTTTCTTATCTAATTACTATTTTATTTCTCCCAACTAAAATATAGCCAATGACATCAATAAATATAAACATTCTTTACAAGGAATTAGAAAACATTCAAGAATTAGTTTATCTGGTCAACTGGAACCCCGTGGATCTCATTTGTCTATACAATTGCCTTCAAAACATTCATTGAACTATTCGCAATGGAGTAATGCTTCTGGTGCTTCTTATTCTAGTTTAGTAAGTCCAAGTCAAACAGATCTACAAGTTGCAGCTCAAGTAGCCGCAGCTGCGGCTGTTGTATCGGTTGTAGAAAATATGAATTTAAGTTTAACTATGAATCATGCATCATCACTTAATAATGTGGGTGGTTACTGTCTTATGCCTAGACCATCATCAAGAGCTGCATCGGTAACCGGTCCTACTACCAGAAATATCAATAAACTATGGATGGAAAATGAAGATGGAGAGAGTATGAAATTTGGTATGTTTACTCCACGAAATGCTTCAACTGGACAGGTAAGTGTTATTTTGAAATTCTTATGAGTTAAAAGAATATGTTTTAAAACAAAACTAACATTTTAACAAATGCTCAATATTGTGAAGAAATTCTCTAGTAGTCAATAAAATAAGTTTGACTTTTCTATAGAACTCATTAGGTAACATCTTTCATAGTTTAAAGAAATAATAACCAATTCAGAACTAAATGAACAGACCAAAAGGTGAATATAACTTATCATTTAAAAGAATAATAGTCGGTAATTTGAATATACAATGGGAATATTCAAAGTAATGTTCGATTCATCAATAATGTTTTTGGTTGAGATCATGAACCGATTGATGTTAGACCACCATTAAAACCTGGAAGCACTGGACGGCCGTTTAGTCCTATTGTGGGACTCCTCAATAATGGTAGAATTTTAACAAATAAGAATAAAAACACTCTACTAAAGTATACTGTATATGAAGGATAAAATGTTCAAAGATAAACATTTATGATTGTATTGTAAAGTCAAATATATATGAATATCTGGGAAAATAAGTGAATTATTGAGACCATAATTAAGAAACATAAATCCATTGTGACCTTAACTTTAAAGCATGAATTACGACACAGATTCATTAATTTTATTGTCAAACTTAAACATAACTCATAAATTTATTCTCGTATAGTTATGATTCCAATTGTAAGCCAACGTTCATTTTGTCTCATTACAACAGAATCCGGGAATCGAATTACGTACACATGGTTATTGGTCACAATGCTACCATACAATATATATACGCAATGTATTTAAAAGCATAAAGCTTAACCTTAACTCTATAAAAATAGAGTATGTGTTTCCAATTTATGAAAACTGAAGTACTATCCGAATCTCCTTATGTCTTCTGAAGCTCTTCAAAACCTCTGAGTATTCGTTAAAACCTAATAGATTGTTCACTTTAATTTCAAAAGATGATTAGAACCGATATAATTATTTTACTATATTTACAAACGTTTGGAAATGTTAAATGATAAATTCACTCGGCTTAAAATTCTAAAATAAAACGTCCCGTAACACCAAAAAAGGAAATGTTTATCATGTATGGTCAGTAACAGTTTTACAAACAATGAATACTGGAATGTAGTTAAATAACCAATCATTTAACAATAATGATTTCTCATTTTAATTACATCATGTACAGCTGTAGAAAAGTTGAAGCCAACAGATTATAATGGGAGAAAAATGCTCCGGGAACCATATTTTATACAAAACTTTAAAAAGAAACACGCTAAACAAAGTGACTCAGAAAAAATATGGAAAAATGAATTGAAATTAAGATGACGAACTACTTATTAGAAATTCTTAAAGTGTAATTCTGATATCCTTCATTAACCTGACGTTAGATATTGCTCTGTGATCAATAAAGGTAAATATTTAAGTCCTATAGGAAAGCAGTCGTGGATCTAATAGCATATTGGTGCAAAATTGGTCAATAGAATTAGACCACTATAAAAAAGTAAACAAACAGAACATTGGTCACTAAGCAGTTGATCAATTAATATTTCTCAAACTCTGAATAACAAGTTTATTTGTTTAGCTTTGCCAGTATGAACTTTTGTCACAGGAAGAAAGTTATGAGTAAAGCAGATGACTGATATTAGATCAGATAACAACTTTATCACCAATCAATCTGAAAAGATTTACTACTAACCTTACTAAAAGTATAAAACATTATAGATCCACCAGTACATCAGTATTTTCATGAAGGAATGAACAGAAATAACAAATATGAATAAGTGATATCAGTAATGAAAAATGAGTATTTTAGAATAAAAAGGTTGAGTATTACAAACTCATAGTCTTTATGTAAGTCAGTCAGGTACAAATGTTGGCTGATGAAAAGTAGGCTAGAAGAAATCTAAAGGTTACCAAACCAAAATGTGATATTTGTTTATGAAGTAACTGAGTGTTGCAAAGAAACATATTGGTACATGAAGACCATCTAGTTCTGATCCGCTCGATTATTGTAACCAATGGTTGGAGAGGGTTGAGTGAGATGCCTCAGGATTGGTTTCAGTGGAGCTGATGTGTTTGGTTTTTATCCACCCTTAGGTCTGGATTTCAAAATTGTCTTATTCCTTTTTTAATTCAACGAATTCATTCTTTTGTCGTAATTCACATTGTCTTGACCTAGTCTTTTTCTACTACTACTACTACTGATATCGTTACCGATTCTAATACTACGGAATTTACCTTGATAATCTGATCACTCAATGCTCATATCATTTGACAAGCTGAACCAAACATATCTCAGGCTCTGGGTGGAGTATGACTGAATCACTGAGTAGTATATATATATATATAAATGATTTATTTTTTACATCACATGTAAATTGAAAATAATAACTTTATATTAGGCCACGCCAACTGCCAGTGTTGATACTGTTGATCCAAATTTACAAATATCAACTCCAAGCCCGATATCACAACAACAACAATATTCTAATGATGTTAATAATAACAATAATAGAAATCAGTTGAGCTTAAATAATCAACAAATAAATGGGAGTTCCATTTCTCAATACAATGCTGTTCCCCAGACAAAACTAGATGATAGGTATCATCAAAATTATAATCCAAATCGATCAGCCGATTCACAAAATATTTCGAATCTATATGCATATCAACAACAACAACAAATGTATCCTATTCATGGATCACGTGTACCATATTCAACATTCATCAGTCCAACATCCCAAACAAATATTTCATCACCATCTAATCTTAATGGTAATGAACAAAATCCCTCTTTAATGGCTTATTATCGTATACTAGCACAAAACCAGATGCTTAACAGGCATAAATTACAACAATTTCATCAACATCAACTGATTCAACAGCAACAACACCAACGACAACACAGCAAAAATGATCAATTGAAACAAACATTGAACATGAACAAGTTGCATCAACAAATTAGTGGGTCTAAAAATTTCATATCCGATCAAAAAGATCAAAAAAATAACTTAGAAAGTTGTACCCAACCCGATCAACAGATTGAACCGAAGAAAGATTTAAAATCTAACCAGATCGATAAAATAATCAATGAATGTATTGATAACCAACTTGATACAACTAATAGTAATAAATTCCAAGATCAAAATATACAAAAAAATGTCAACAAACATGAAGAAAATTCATCTATGAATCAAAAAGATTTAAATGTAAGTGAAAAGGAAAAAAAAATTTTTATTAAATCATTGGAAAATTTAAGATCCATGATCAGAATAAATATGGGTCAGATAGGGTGAGAGAAATAAAAGTATAATTACAATTCGATCAAATGTTTAATGGAAGACTGTATTGTGTAAAAAATTATTAGTAGAGCATAATAAGGTGGAATGAATACGAAGTAAATGAACCATGTATTGGGGACATCAATAATAATATTTAACCAGTAATAATAATAATATTATTATTATTATTATTAATGATACAGAGACTTGTGAATAAAGTACGTTCGACTACGAAAGGTCGTAAGTACAAAAGTCAAATTAGGTCACTCAATAGCTAAGAGTACTATTGATTGAATGGCCTTGAGGTTGGCCAGGGGAGGAGAAGCGGTTGAATATATTTCTTTTGTATGCATAGCTCAGGTTTCTTTATCCCGATGGCTACTGCTTTGGCCGTTTGAAGGGCTTTAAGCCGTGACCAGCGAAGTACAGTAGTGTCAGGTGTGAAACAGTTATCCATCTCATGCAATGGAAGATGCTCATACGACATCGTGCATTGAGTATGAATCATTGGTTCCCAGTTCAGTGATCTATAAGTCAAGTGTTCCTGTGAGAAACCGGAAGTTCTAGGTCCAATACCATGTGGTGAGACCATTGATGTGCACTCCTAAAGTGTTCCATACTCGGACAAAACAGCTTTTCAGTGGTTCCTGGTTTTCAATAGCCGTCTATCTAAGATCGGTTCATGATTTCAACTAATAAATAATGGTTGTTTCCAATTACTAGCGTCCTAAATGCTCTTTTATAATATTGCACACCATATACATAATTCTTCCTTATTTCTGTTTGTAAATCACCTGTTTTTTTATATATGCAGTCAAATGATTAATTAATCAATTGTTTTATTCATTTTAGGAAACAATAAACTTAGACAATGCACAACATAACACAACAAAACAAGTATTAACTACAGAAATAAATACATGTCATTATAAAACGACTGATCAAACTTCTTCAAATGAAACACCATCTTTGTTATTAAATGATAGACAAATGATTAATCCTACTGATATTAATAATGAAAATAAACCAAATAACAATAACTTTAACCAACCTCTTACTGTAACCATCAATTCAGATCCATATTATAATTCAGTCGAAAACCATAATATATATTTTAAGTATAATCAATCTCCTCCATTAAATAATACAGAATATAATGTGCATAATATCGATAACAATAATAATAACTGTCATATAAATTCATCACAGAAATCTCCATCTTCTATCTGTTCCCAAAATACACCACAATCACCAACTTCACCACCTTTACAATCAACACAACAATCTAAACAACAACCTCGTCTAGGTATTCATTCACCAGTAAGAACAAATCGTTATTTAAATACTACAGAACAAAGTGCATTCAAACAATTTAATGTTAATCAAGAAAAATTAAATCTTTCAAATGAAACAAATATTCATTCAAATTCTATTGCATGATAATTAAAACAAAAATAAATAACTAAAAATTCAATATAAATTATATTGTGTACAGTAATGGAAATTTAATAAATGTGAATTGGCAACCTTCCTACAGAATATATATATATATATATATATATATATATATATATATATATATATATATATATATATATATATATATATGAATGGATATTACTACACGAATAAAGACAAAGGATACTAGGGAATACTGAACAACCTTTTTGCTAGGCATGAAAATAGTGAATTTATTTTCATAAAATTATATATATATACTACTCTCATCTGGATAACTCTCTTATTAAATACTCTTTCTTTCACATAACAACTAATCATTGTATATCAATATTACATTGGTCATCTTTTAAATTGTGTATTTTTCTTTTTGAGTTGAACAATTTAATTTAAGGTGTAAACTAAAGCATTCATTATTATTTATTGTTTTTGATAATATCTCATATGGCGAAATAATAACTGTTCATAATCAGATAGTGTTTCCTATCCATTGTTCGTCTATTGGTACCATGTTGAACATACAACTTACCCGCAGAATTACAAAAAAAGAACATGGCAAACGACTATTACTTGATAGGTTGGAAATACCATATATCACTGGCTTATAGAAAATACTGTATGGTTGTTGATTAATAACAGATTTCATGTTTGTGTAGTTCTTATGGTTGATTAAACTTGATTGAATAAGTTGCAGCATGCTCATTGGTATACGTGATTCATCAATATGTCGATTTTAGGCGACTGGAGACAATTGAATTTTATTGAGATCATGAACCGACTGATGTTAGACTACCATGGAAAACCTGGAAGCACTGGATGGACACTTCGTCCTATTGTGGGACTCCTCAGCAGTGCGCATCCACGATACCGCCCGCGGGACTCGAACCCGGGGCCTATAGTATCACGCGCGAACGCTTAACCTAGTGGACCACTGAGCCGGTATCCAGTGGTGTTAATGTCTAACCTCAACCAATCTACGTAGTCCCACAATAGGACGAAACGGCCAACCAGTGCTTCCACGTTTTCAATGGTGGTCTAACATCAATCGGTTCATGATCTCAATCAAAACTTAACAATCTCCATAACCCCTAAACTGATAATTGAATTTTAGTTTGATTTAGGTTTTATCCAAGCTGGAGCTTGTCAGAGAGGTGTGTCAGAAAATGTTAAGAGCACTGAACTCACTCACTAAGCAGATGTTCGCATTAACTGATGAGAATTCTAGTGATATGAAGAGCCAATCGGAAGTAGCAAAACGTCAATCGATGACAACCAGAAGCGACCCAAAATTCAAGTGTATTTCATTGGGGTCATTTTCCTAAGGATATATATGAATATTTGGGCATTTAACTCAGTAGTCCAATACACTTTCTCGCTCAAGTAGTTCGTTGGGGGGTAGCTATATAGCATACCATGTATCAGTACCAGATTTCGGAAACCGTAGGTCACAACACCTAGCCTCACGAGGATTGTTGACGCCTTTAGTATTGAGGATAAGCATCAATGGTAATTACCGACAGCACGAAATCAAGACCTACAGATTCCTCCTGATCGATTTCAATCACTTAACGGAGAACTTTGATATTCAGTAAGTCAGTCCAAATACCATACCATAAAAGTATTTGGTAGAGTTCAGATTTTACAATCTGTTTGAGCAATTTTCGGTAAATTGTAATAAGAAAGCTTAAGTAGATATATTTCATAATGAAAATCATTTATTTTGATAATAACAACAGTAATTAATTTGCCAATTACTCAATTCCATTTTCTATTTATACACTTCCTTGAAACCCAATATTACTACATATTTATTATAGGGAGTAAAATATTAATCTCTCCCAAGTTTTCTGTTTACCTAGTTAGAAAACATTAAAACATAGTAAAGTATTATTCCACACACTCATTTCATCTGATTAAATTTAACCACGTAAAGAAAAAAAACATGAACGTAAATGTGTCTAATTAGTTGTATTCTTTTTGGATCATCAGTAAGTTAGCATTTTTTAAAAATGATAGAAGTAATTCACAGAAGAAAAACCGATTTACACTAAACTTAAAATAAAAGGTTCTTACTAATTGTTTTACTAGACATAATCTATTTACCATTCAATCAAATCACAGCATATCAGATAAGCAAATATATAATGCATGTCAGTTAACTAAGTATAGTAATACACTATTTCAAATTGTTAACACTATGGTAATGCACTGATAAGATCAGAACTTTCTAAAAGAGACTAGAAGGATGGGCATGGAAAAAGTGCACTGCATGATAAAGTATCTATGATTTAAAGGAAAAGAAGTAGGAAAATATAATGAAATTGTTGACAGGTTTACATCTACCCTGAATGGAAATTGTTGTTGTAAACTAAAGCATAAGTATGAAAATCTGAAAGTGACAAGAAATGCCCCGAAATTTTGACAAATCAGAAACTCCATTAAAGCAAAATAATAAAACTAGAGCTTTATTGAGATCATGAATCGATCAACGTTAGATCACCATAAAAAACCTGAAAGCACTGAACGGTCATTTCGTCCTAGTATGGGACTCCTCAGCGATAAGTATCTACAGTCCCATACGCAAAAATCAAACCCAGGACCTAAGGTCTCATGCACAAACGCTTAACCTCCAAACCACCAAGTCGGCATACAACGACTATAATATCCGAATTCAACTAATCCACGACAATGCGTGACCACCTTCTATTGTCTTCTGTAACTGTCTCACCGCTGACACGGATTAACTCCACCGGTCAAGGCTTCTTGCTAGTTCGGTTCATGGTTTCGATGAAATTTCACAAGCACTACAACTGAAAACAAGAGCTCACTAAATTCAACATATTCCTCCAAATATTATTCGAAATTTCATTTAAAGATGGGGGTTTTCGACTCTGATGAGTGATTTTATTATTTCTCACTTTGACTGAACGTTCTAATCATGACTCTTCTAATACTTCTCCAGAAAAAATAATAGAGAGCGCAAACCTTGAATGCACTATGAAAGATCCCTGTCATATTGTTGTCACCGGTAAATGTGTTACCATTGGTCATAACCTTGTTTCGTTTCTGACCTGATATGCAATGCTAAAATTGTCTATTAAATACAAGCTAACCTTAATACCAATGTTCTAAAGGATCTCTGGCATCCATTGGATATTCTCTATGCAGGTATCTGTCATATCCCAGCACAATTTATGTTTAAAGCTATCCATGTCAGTCATAATATCTAACTAGTTATCACCGTTCCGAATGTGTAGCGCTTTTTGCATTGTTCCAGCATATTTGAGTTTTTCTGTTCATTGCCACGCCATTTGATTAGTGATTTACTTCAATTTCAAATGATTCCAGCAGTTTACTTTTCACCAGTGACATGTTTTTCATGTAAAATAAGATGATCTGTTCTGCTTTCTCGGACATCGATTTACAGTTACAGTCTTAAATAATAACTTCACAATACTACTAACTGTAAATTATTTATTATGTGCCATTTTCCTTCATCTAAACGGTTCTGTCATAGACGTTTTTTAGTTTGTAGGAATTTTTCGTTCTCTAAAGAAATGGCTTCAACTGAGTCACGAAGCGTCAGAAAATTTAATTTTCCTACTTATTGGGACTTTAGAATTATATTACTTTTGGCTTTTAGTTAGTTACTAACCTGTACATTTTCCTTTTAGCATATTTCACTATCGCCATACTACATCGTTGATAAAATGATAGATAGCTTGAAATAACTTTGAACGACGACTCAGCTATACAAGAAACTTCCCATGGATATCCATGGCTCAATAGGATGTTGAGAAAGTAAATTATTAACATGCCTTTCTGTAGATAGTATTGAAGATAATCTAATCCTAACCAAGTAGAAATTACTTAAAAATGAGTATTTCTTGACCTTACTGAAAGAAAATGCAAAAATACATGTTTACCTAATTAACTCAGGCACATGATTTAAAACTGATGTTTATCAATACGTAATTTGAATACAAGTATGATCACAATGGGCAAATAAACGTTTGGTGGGCAGCTCTTTTTAACGCTCGGTTGAACAACTATCTAATGATTTAATTTACGACGGCAAAATATAGACATGAATAAAACAACAGGAGGTTTATGATAAAATATCCAATAGTTGTTTGAACATCAACCGGTCAATTGGTTAAGATGCTATAACTCTATCTATCAAGTAATTTTCTTGTGAACTGATTATTTGGAAAATTTGAGAATAAAATAAAATCTAGGCTCTAGTTCGTTAGCCCATACAGAGTCGTGTAAACAGGAAGTACGATGCATTACAGATGGGTATGGATACAATCCAAACAATATTGGGATTTGGCTCTTGAATAACGGAGGAACCTTCTAGTTTCTTGAAACGAACGAAGAGGTAAATACATGTATTCTGTCTACCCAGACACGGTTTACTTGACATGCCTGTCAAGGAAGGCATAAATAAAAATTTAAATCCGGAATAAAATAGGTCCAGACAGTTAAGTGCTGTCTGAAGTGGGTTATAAAAAACAATGTATTATACTAGATTTTCTGTATTTGTAAGCGCTTGGATATCCAAAAACCTAACCTATCACTTATTATTGATTAATAAAGCAAGCACGAGTGGAATGATGATATGAGATAAACAAGAACTAGTCTGAAGCAATGAATGACTACGTGATCAAATAGGTCATGGCTCGTATTTCATGGTTTACCAGGAAAAACAAATTTAAGTAGTTCAAACAACTAGAAAGTAATGTCTCAGAGTTTCAAATCTACAAGATATGCCTTTGCTTTCATTGCTAGCACTGAATTCATGGATACGGAGCCAAAATAAAATGATAGAAATTAGTCATTTTTAGTCATTAGGAGTTCACTTCAATCCCACTTGAGGCTTGATATAATGTAGCCTCACTAATTAGAATATTAACTGAACGACCTAATTAACCGTTGGCTGTATAATTTCTTGACTTTAGAAAGATTCAGCTACTACTTTTCGGAAATCTACATCAATTTACTTTCCAAACCAGAATATAAATATCAACTCTGCAAACTTTATCTAACCATGATGATATTAAAGTTATAGACCTCTGACCTTAGTTCAGACAACTTAAAAGGT